TTTTTGGTTTTTCTCCGGTACCGGGAACCGAACTCACGACCTTGCGCTTGCCAGGCAGGCGCTTTTGCCGCTGAGCTAAATCCCCAGCCCCTCGCCCACGCATTTGAAACAGGGACCGCAGCCCTCGTCCCTCGCGTCTTCCCCATCTCAGCAGCCACTGACCCTGTAAGTGAGAGTCAGCCTGAGTGTTTCAGCCGCGTGAACAGTGCTGCGGAAGGCATCACTTGGTCCTTTGGAACCAAAGGACCACGCTGAAAGTTCCACCATACATCTGGTTTTTATCTCTGGGTGTCTTCTCCCTTTGCCTCTTTCTCACCAGCTCTTGGTCCGGGCTGTTCTGAAACACTAGGGGCGGTTCTAATCTATTCCCACATCACAGCTCCGTCACTCCGCTCCCTGCCCTGCGACCCAGTGAGATTTCTGAGATGCAAACGCGGTCACGCTTCCCTTTCACAAAGCCACAGAGCGAAGTCTAGATTCTCTGGCATGGCAACAAGCCTGTAGGCATAAAAAGGGCTACATCATTTGCTTCAGGCCTGAAGTTCTAACTTTACTGCTTTGCTTTACAGGTATCCTGTATCCTGTATGTAGTCAAAGAATGATGCCTCGTTCTCAAAAGGTGCCCTCTTCTTTTTCTTTTCTTTTCTTTTTTTTAATCTTATTTGTACATAGCTTTAATTTATGTTTCCTCTCTGTCTGCTGTGTTTTCTTTCTTTCATTAACCTGAGGACTCTATTCCTTCTGCAAGGCTTAATAACATAAATCCTCTCCTCTGAGAAGCTTTTGTTCAAGCTCTCAGATAGATTTACTCTGTCTTATTTATTTTGACAATTGCTACGTCATATTATAAATGACCTGCTATATTTATCTCCCAGGCCAATAGGAAATACATTGATCTTTCTTAAATTTAAGTAATTGCATCACATGTAGTTTTTAAACATAGGGCTTAATGAATGGTATTCATAATGAAAATGAATGCTATCCCAGGCAATGGAGATAGTGTAGTAATTTACCTTTTATTATTTTTAAATAATAATTGCCACTACATTGAGTACTTATACTTATTTTGTGTGAAATATTGCATGTGCATTATTTTATTTATTCCTTTTTTTTTTTTTTTTTTTTTGTCTTTTTGAGACGGACTCATTATGCAGTTCAGGCCGGCCTTGAGCTCACTTTTTAGTCCAAGATGGCCTCAGACTCAAAACAATCCTTCTGCCTCAGCCTCCTGAGTGCTGGGATTGTAGGCATGCACCACCATGCCTGGCATCTCCATAAGATATTGCTGTCCCTATTTTATAAAAGAGAAATTGAGATTAAACATAATGACATAACATATGCATGTCTTACAAGGCATTAGCTGTAGGGATTTGAACCACACTGCTGTACTTGATAGCTGCAGTTCTAAACCATGTGATCACATGGGGCTATGCATCAAGCATAGTACATAATTCATCTCTTTTTACAAAAGCAGTCATAATAGTGGTGAGTCTTAATTCAAAATAATTGATGTACAGAAATATATAGATTTATCCCACAATATCCACATAATTTTCTCCTGTATTCCTTTATGTCTCTGCTTCATATGTGAACATCTCAGAGAGAAGCCACTGGTGGTCTTTTGTGTAAAGTAACAGCCCTCGGCTCTTGCCACGTCATCATTTCTACGCATATGTGAATAGCTGTCAAATTATCGAAGAGCTCATCACCGCATTGTATGTCAACAGGAATGAGATGAAACAAGTCCACTCTTCATTTTTAAAAACATGTATGTAGTTCCAATTTTAGGCTATTTTAGAGAGTAAGGTATTCAAAATATTTTACTTTGAAATAATTATAGAGTCTCGGGATTTTCCAATAAAAACCAACATAATGCATATAGAGGTCATGTTCATCCTTCAATAGAATAAATTCTTATTTTGTAAAGGGACTTAAAATGTGCTTTCCCTGTATCTGAAGACTCTCTAAAGCACCTATAATTTCGTATGTTTGTATCTTTTCAAGAAAATGTAGAAATAGAACGCCATTAGCAGTTGCACCATACAGAACTCCTGCACAGTTCAGTAAATGTGCCAACTGAATGGGCTCTCCTTAGTATTCATTGGAACTGTTATAAAATTGCCAGTGTATTTGCAAAAATAAATTTCACAGTCATTGTATTTGCAGCTGGTGGCTGGCAGCGTTCGTGATCCCGGCTCATGTTTTCTTTGATGATTACGAGGAAATCACTGAGAGAGAGTCACACCCTGCACCTCTGCCTTGTCCTTCTGCAGTGACCTCTGCAGTCGTAGCAGGAGCAAATCCTGAGCAGCTGGTAGAAATCTGTGCAGTCAGAGACAGTGTGAAGGGGTTTCTCCAGGGCGTTTTTGCCACCTTAGCTCCACAATCTACAAAATGATTCCTAATTTCTGAAAACAGCAAAATGCATTCATTTTGTATTTAAGTAATAATTTATAGATGTCTTCTGTATTTCCTACCTGTCATTCTGATTGTATTTGAGAAAATGCCATTCTCTTGTGGACCTAATGCATTTCTCTCACTTACAAGAAACTGGCCTGTGTCTTTGACGTTGTCAAGTTGATAGAAAATATAGTCTAGGCTTCCCTCTGTCCTTTAAATGTCAATTGCTGAAAAAATATTTCTTCACCATACATAATACATTTTAAGTGTGCATTTTAAGCATATACATAATACATTTACATGTATTTTACACCGTACATAATATATTTTAAAGAGTTTTTTCTACTCTTTTTCTCTCTAACAATGAATTTCTGCATGTGTGAAGAAACCCTTTGCACAGGAAATACTACAAGGAATCAATAACTGGAATCTCACCCTATAAAAAAGCTTTTGCACAACAAAGGAAATTTCCAATAGAGTGAAAAGACAGCACACAAAGTGGGGAAAAATTTTAGCCAGTTGTCCCTCAGACAAACGACTTCTATCTAAAGTATATAAAGAATTGAAAAAAGTCAGACCCCCCAAATTCAAAGACCCCATCCAAAAATGGGCATCTGAGATGAATACACACTTCTCAGAGGAAGAAGTACAGGTGGCAAATATATACATGAAAAAATATTCATCACTGGTCATTGGAGAGATGCAAATTAAGACAATGCTGAGATTATCTCACCACAGAAAGAATTGCTGTTATCAAGAAATCAACCAATAACAAACTCTGGAAGGGGTGTGGGGAAAAAGGAGCCCTTGGGCACTGTTGATAGGAGTGTAGACTGGTGCAACTACTGGAGAAACCAGTGTGAGGATTCCTCAAAAAACTGGGATTAGAGATCGTATTCGATCCAGCTATCCCCTTCTGGGTATCTTCCCAGAAGAATTAAAAATATCATACCACGTGATATATGAATGCCTATGTTTATAGCAGCACAGTTTGTAATAGCTCAATCTTGGAAACAACCAAGGTGCCCCTCAACTGAGGAATGAATAACGGTGTGTTCTTTCATACGTACAACGGAGTACAACTCCACCATAAGAAGGATAAACTTGAGACATTATAGGTAAATGTATGCACTTCGAGACCATACTCTTAAGTAAAACATACACAACTCACATGTGTGAATATTGCTTCATTTCTCTGGTACAAGATACCAAATATGTAAATAAAGAACAAAGTGTATAAGAGCTATTGGGAAAGAGGAAGAAACTGTTCACAAGAAAGGGGAAGTAGGGAGAGGGTGGAGAGAAAAGAAGGAAGAGGGAAGAAAAGAGTCTATACTCCTAAATGGAATAAATCAAACGCATACGTTTAAATATCACATTGTTTCCCTAGCGCGTGAAACTGAAAGAATAAATAAGGACCAAAATGTATAACAAATACTTGGAAATAGGAAGAAAACATTCAAATGAGAAGGGATACAAGGGATGGGTTAGGGAAATGGAAAGGGAAGGAAGGGAAAAGAAAATAATTAGAAAGAAGAAAATAGAAACTAAGCTTTTATAAATAAGGAGAGAAAGAGGGGCTGAAAGGAGGAGAGAGGATAGGGGGAAAAGAAGAATCAAGAACTACATATAGATACAAACCTCCTGTATTGAATGTGAGCATTATGTATATATAAAATGTAGCAATAAAATTTTTTTTTTTCAGTACCGGGAATTGAACTCAAGACCTCACACTTGCCTAGCAGGTACTGTGCCACTGAGCTATATCCCCAGCCCAATAAAATTAATTTTAAAAAAATATGGGACTGGTGATAGAGCTCAAGGTTAGGGCACTTGTGTGAGGGCTTAGATTCAACTCTAGGTACAATCAATCAACTGATCAATTAATCAATCAATAAACCCTAAGTACAAGAAAAGTATTGGGAAGCAATACACCAAAATGTTGACAGTGGTTATTTCTAAGATGAAGAACTGTACATTTGTAGTTACTTTAAAAAGCACATGCATCAGTTTTATACTCTGAAAGAAAAATTCCTTGAATCAGTAGTGCCTCCATAATGAAGAATAATATTTACTAAGGGAATTCATTCCCAATCTCTTTAATTTCAAGTGTCAGTTTGATTCAGCCTGTATTCCTCGTGTGAAATGCCAAGCTATTTGAAGTCACTCCAAGGCATGGAAGACAGACCAAATTATTTCACAGAAACATACTCAATTTTAGTAAGCATATAGTTGATATGAAAAAGTAGCTTTTCACTTGCTAAGGATTTGAACTGTTTACAATAAAGAAAGCTGAATGAGTGGCATTCTTCAGTATTAGCTCACTGGTTTGTGTTATAGTTGAACACCTAGAAATGAGCACAGAAGAGTCATTTTTTAAATGTGTGAGTGTTCACACTGTCACTGGCTGATGTTTGGATCTTAACCGACCCCAGAGGCCCAAAGGTCTCCTAAGGGGAGACAGTTCTTCAGAGTGTACTACTAAGTGGGGGTGGAATCCTTAAGAAGTGGGAAGTTTTATGTCATTGCAGTCATTGAAGGAGATAGTGGGACAGTCCTCCTTCCTCTTTCTCTATTTTTTTCTTACCTATGAGGTAAGGATATGAACAGCCTGCTCTCCTCACCTGCCAGGAGGGACCATGCTGCCTCAGGCCACAGGCAATGGGCCAATTAGTATGGACTGGACCCTCCAAAATCATAAGCCCCAACAAACGTTTCTTCTTCATAAGTTCATTATCTGGGATATTATTTAGCAATCCAAAGCTGACTAACATTATTCATTCCTATGTTAATAAATGTTTATTGAATCCTTATCAAAATACTCAATCACTCTTTTTAAATTTAAGAAAATTTATTCCAGTAAAAATGCATTGCCATTAATTCCCCCCTCAAAACGTCCCCCCCTGCTTCAAACACACCTTTACCTCATTACTGTTGGTCCTTTCTGGAGCAGTTCTGAAGTCCCCTCTCCTGGGGGTCTTTATGAGGAGTGAGCAAAAGTATGGTGAATGCTGCTGCCAGTGTCACCCAACAGAGAGGCAGACTCCGAAAAAGTTAGCGTGTCCTCATCTACCTTACTCACCAGATTGGGCACCATGGGACTCTGGCTCTTCCCCAACACCAAAATGACATGTAAGGTAAAGGTTTTCAATTGTTTCAGAGCATTGGGGCAGCCACAACAGTGCAACTAAGGACACTCATGAAAGAGGACTTCCAAAACTTCTTCAGAAAGTGACAGGAAGAATGGGATATTGCAGCCACAAGCACCACAAAATCCTTCCTCTAAGGGCTAACTTGCTATGCTCTATGAAATTTAGCAAGGCAAACCCACTGAGACTGGATATAAACGTGGAAAGAATGATTGGCATCCTTAGACAAAGTAGATTGATAAAGGAATTGACACATAAGTGACTTTTCATTGCCTTGTAGCCAATGGTCGGTGCTCCTACCCTTTCTCACACTGGTTTCCATGACAATCCACTTCTAAATGCTGCATTCTAATCTACTCAGCATGTCATTCCATGCCTCCATGACATGAAGTGGGGTGTTCCTTATGCTGCAACAACTCTCTCCAGATTTGTCTTGAAAATGTTACCTCTCTTCTCTGAAATCCAGCTTAAACCACCTCTCTTCTTGGCACTTTTTCCATACCATTGACACCCTCAGCCAAGTTGGTTGCCTGTTCTTTGAAGTCACATTACACCTTGAACATACACATTCCACATTTTCACATTTGTTGGGTTTGTGTCAGCTCTGAGCAATTCACTCAATTTAACATTTATGAAAATGTGCAAAACTGCTAAACCTAAAGGTTAAGGATGTTATTGGGGGCCAGATGTAGTGGTGCACTCCTTAATCTGAGCGCACAGGAGGCTGAGGCAGGAGGACTGTTGTGAGTTCGAGACCAGCCTGGGCTATAAAGTGAGCTTTTGCTATGCCTGAATTGCATAGCAAGGGGCTGGGGATTTAGCTCAGCAGCAAAAGCGCCTGCCTGGCAAGCGCAAGGTCATGAGTTCGGTTCCTGGTACTGGAGAAAAACCAAAAAAAAAAAAAAAAAAGATTGTCATTGGGAATCTTTAAGAAAAGATATGATAATCCATTATAAATAAGACAATCTTTAGATTTATTTTTTGAGACAAAAATACAATTTTTTTACAGTTTAAAATGTAGATACTGTCTTAGTTCATTTGGGCTACTGTAATGAAATATCCAAGACTGGAAGTTTATAAACCACAGAAATATATTTATCACAGTTCTGGAGGTCAGGAAGTCCATGGTGAAGGTGCTGACAAAGTCAATATCTTGGGAGGCCCCATTTCCTGATACATTGCGGGCATTTTCTCACTGGGTTCTCACATGCATAAGGAGGCAAACAAACTCCCTTAAACTTCTTTTATACAGGCCCGAATCCATTTCCTAAAGGTTGTCTTCATTCTCTGATCACCTCCCAAAGGCCTTATCTGTTAATGCCATCAGTGTTGGAAAAAGGATTTCAGTATATGAATTTGAGAAGCCAGAACAAATACTCAGACTAGAGCAGAGATATGGTTGGTTATTCACTCAA